CCCCAAAACCCCAAAACCCCAAAACCCCAAAACCCCAAAACCCCTTCAATTCTTAAAAATTTTGAATTAAGTTCAATAATTATGGCAGGTATTCTGAGAAGATTTACCAAATTTATCTTCGGTGAAGGTGAAGAGGAAGAGCTTAACGCTCTGATCAACAAGGTTGAACAATATAAATGTGTTCATACTAGACTCTACTGCTTCCACACTGAAAGTGCTACTAAGATGTCCATCTACACTAAAGCTAAAGCAAGTTTGGTTTGGAATGATTCCACCGGAAAGTTCTTCGTGTGTTTAGAAAATCTTTGTGATGACGATGATGAAGACGAAGATGAAGAGAACCAGATCTTCCTCCCACTGATTAAAGATCTGAACTGGAATCTTGATGAGTCAAAGAATGACGATGATGATTTTGCAATCAAACATTTCTTCGATTACACAAAGCAAAAAGACTTAAAGAATGTAGGAGGAGGACGCTACGAAGTGAACTTTACTACAGATGCAAAGACAGATGAAATAGAAAACTTTGAGAACTACATCAACGACATTCTAGACTTTGTTGAAAAGATTACTCCTGCTGAAGAGGTAATTCTTATCCATCTAATCTTTCCATAGACTAAAGAAAGCACTCAAGCTGACGAGGAGGAAAAGAAGGAGTTCAGTGATAGTCTTTTCGAAGGTAAAGGAACCTTATTTCAGTATAACAATGAGGAAGACAAGAATGAAGTTGTTGAAGAGAATGTCAAGTTCTTAGTCCAGAAACTTGAAGGTGATTTTAAGTATGCATTCACCGTCATTGTTGAAGATGTTGGAGAGATCCTTATACAAACCCATGTGCATGAAGGAACCCAAGCTTCTATCAACAGTAGTTCAGGTGTAATCATGTGGATCCATGATACCTTCACAAGTGGAGATGAAGATCTGAATGCCTTTGTGTTCTACTTCACCAACAAGGGAGAGAAGGACATTGACATACTAAGTAAAGCTGTGTCAAAATGCATCTTCGAGTGCCAGAGAAAAGTCTCTATCGAAGATAATGTCAAGGAAGAAGATATGAGCTGGATGGCTGATGCTTATGTTGAAGACTTGAGAGAAGAAGAAGACAAAAGCGAGTACAACGATGAAGATGAAGAATATCAGGGTATTGACGAATCTTACAAAGATATGATCATGGAAGATGACCAAGAATACGATAACAAGGACTTCCTTCAAGCTCATACTTATGATAGAGCCTTTGTAGTTAGAGGAGAAGGATTTGGAGTCTATGGAACTGACAATGACAGCGGACTAAGTTACTGTGGAGATATTCCTATTCTCAATGAATACTCAGGAGCACCAGCTGAAAATCTTATGCTTCACGATAATGAAAACAAGCTACTGTTTATCGATCCTCAAGAGAAGAACTTGATCAAATGATATGACTTTGAAAAGGACAAAGTAGTAGAAGAATGGGAAGGTGAAGGCGTAAAGAAGTTCAATTCCTTCTTCGGAGAAACTAAGAACTCACAGTCGACTCCAGGATCCAATATCATTGCTTGTAGTGATAAAGGGATGTATCTAATGGATCCTCGTGTAAATACTGCCTCAAAGAATGTATCCCAAAAGGTCTACTCTACTAACTATCTTTTCAGTAAGATTACTGCAAATATGAATGGTAACATTGCTGTTGGAAGTAAGAATGGAGAGATAAGACTCTATACAAAGATGGGTCAGACAGCAAAGACAATGCTCCCAGGTATCGGTCAGGAGATCACCCATCTTGATGTTTCACAAGATGGCTCTTGGATACTTGCTACCTGTAAGAACTATATCTTGGTGATCCCCACTAAGACTAAAAGTGGGCAGACTGGGTTCGAGAAGAAGATGGGAAAAGAAAAACCTAAGCCAAAGAAGCTGAAATTGACCCAATCAGATGTTGTGAAGTATGGCTTAAAGAAGAAAGAGTTCACTAAGGCTACTTTCAATAATGGAGGAAATATCACCGAATCCTTTATTACTGTATCTATCGGGAAATTCGTAGTTATCTGGAAGTTGAAGAAGGTCAAGAAGGGTAATCTGGGAGACTATGATATCAAGGAGCTTCATAACTCTGTTGTTGCAAGTGAGTCCAAATATAATACAGAGAACGAGATCATGGTTGCTTTGCCAAAGAGTTTGACTGTTGAAACCAGAAAGAAGAGAAAGTAAAAATTAAAAATTATGGGTCAAAATAATAGTTGCTCAATGTAGTCTAATTGCTAGGGGTTTTGGGGTTTTGGGGTTTTGGGGTTTTGGGGTTTTGGGG